GTCTTGTGACTCGTTCTACTTGATTTTATTTAGCACAATTTCTATAATTTTTATAAATAAATAAAAAAAAAGCTTCGAGCCAATCTAGAGCCACTTCGAGCTAATCCATTTATAGCTTAAAATCGGCTTGAAAAAATTTTGATCCAAAATCTTGCCTCATCTATTTCAATCTGATTGTACAAATTTTTGAAGCTAAATTCATAATAACCCTACTTTCAACCTTACAATTTTAAGTCTAATTGATTTAGTGTATGGGTAGTTATGACTTATTAAAAAGTTGTTGAAAACTAATTGATATTTTAAAAAGTTGTGATGCCAATTATAATTTTTATTTAAAAAAGTCACGTCGCCGCTAGAAAAATGTCACCGCACATAATCAAAGTATCAGTGTGAACAAACTGTCTAAACAGACAAAACTATATTGCACTCTCACCACACCTCCACCCCCAACCCTTGACCACTGCTAATTGAATAATTGAGCGATTTGACTGCCGATTCATATGATCTTTTTAGCTTCTAAATTTAATTTTTGTTTCAATTGAACCAAATCAATCATGATTTGGTTTACTTTTTATAATGATAAAGAGAGCCTACAGGCTTTAATGGCATTTACTATAATCTATACATTGGCAAGAAACAAATAAATAGACTGTTGGGAGGATAAGGTGCAATTAACTGTCAATGATTAATTAGGTACCAGTTGGGAAGGACACTTGTCTATGTAATACTGACCCTGCCTAACTTTTCTATCCTTCACACAATTATAATCCTTTTCTTCTTATAGGGAAATGAAATATGGCCATTTTTTTTTCCAAAGTAAAAATTGATTTTTTTTTGTGTTTGATATGTAAATACAGAAAAAAATATGGTATGTATGAAAATTTTTCTTGTATTTTTTTTATAGGCATCATATTCAACCTATTATTATATCAATGAAAGTGCATCATATATATTCAGAATTTGACAACTAAATGTGTTTGGGCAACAGTAATATTATGATTGGTGACCTCTCATGAAGTCCTCATTGCATCTTTCTATTTTTTTTTTTTTTTTGGAAAATGTATGTAGATACTACATGATTTTATATATTTATATATCTAACACTCAGAAAGTTTGATATTAATATTTATAACACCTTCATTTTACTAACCAGTAAGCAAATGTATAGAATAACATTTTTAAAAGGTCATAGTGATGATAGTTTAGACGTGATGTTAAAGATTTGAGTGATATACATCTAAAGATGATGGTGCGTTTGAGGCAGCTTGTGCTAATCTAGATTAACAGCTTATCCTGAAACGCGACATGTGGGTGGCCCGCGAGACTAGAACTTCAGCCTGAGTTTAGTGTAAAAATCTAACCGCGTTCTCGGATAAGCTGTCAAAACATGTTTTCCGA